TATAAATGGCTTTTTACTTTGGATTACTTTGAAATTAACATTAGATATATGGAATTTGGAGATGTCTATTCTGTCCTGGATGATTTTAAGAAGAAAGAAGGGATATTTTGGACATTTGACAATGGAAATTAACAAGCTCAGCAAAAAAAATTAGGTGTAGCGTAGGAATAAAAGACAGGAAGTTGATGCATCACACATGGAACAGACATAAGCATTAAAGGGACAAACAATTTTTTTTAATTTGAACAGATGAACTTTGAAATGGAACATTTATGGACAGATAGAAAAAAGAAGAAAAGGAAGAAATAAAGTAGATAAATTTAAATGTAACTAAATTGAAATGTAAAATTTAAAAGCCTAAAGGTATATATGATTTTTGGATAAAAACAGGAGGGTTTTTGGAGTAATAAAAATAGAAAATAAGAGATGGCAATTAAAATAGAGGATAACATATAGGTAGTTAAAAACAATAGAGTATATTTTAATGTGAGACAACTTTAAGAAAATTTACTGTTTGATGTAATATGTTTTAATTTTAATATGCAAACAATGATTGGTGATTATGCTTGATTAAGGTTTTATTGAACAAACTATAAGATACACAGATTTTAGCAACAAACTGATTTAATTTAATATATGCTGGAAATGATGATTATTATGATTATATATTGAGAATTAATTTGAAAGAGTATGTTGGGAAACTGACACAAAATAGATAACTATATTGTAAGAGAAAATTAAAATAAGAGGGATGAATACCAACTAGATAAGAGTTTGAGACTCGGAGGAAATATGTTGGAAATTACTTACAGGAGAGTTGGAGGAGACTATGCTGGAAATCAGCCAAACAAAAGTGGGAGCCCTGGAGGGGACTATGCTGGAAATCAGCCAAACATAATATGCTGGAAATCAGCCAATAAAATGCTGGAAATCAGCCAAACAAATAGGAGGAGAGTTGGAAGAGATTATGCTGGAAAATATGCTGGAAATTAGCTAATAATGGCGGTAGGCTTGGAGGAGACTATACTGGAAATTAGCCAAAAATAGTTGGTGCTCTGGAGGAGACTATGCTAGGAATCAGCCAAACATAATATGCTGGAAAACAGCCAAACAATAGAGGGAGGTATGGAAGAAAATATGCTGGAAATTAGTTTAAATAAAACATGTTTTTGTGATAAACCTGTGTAACATGAAAACCGTAATAGATGATAAGTGTTTTTAAGTGTGTTTAAGATACTAAGATTCGAGGAAAAGGGTCAAAAGATTAAGAATTAGATAGAATTTTGTTTTATAAAGTGTAATAAAAATAGAATTGTATTGAATTTGAAATCAAGATTTGTGGTGATAAAATTGTAAGGTAAATAATTAGAATAAGAGGTAAGAATATTGTTAAAAATTATTTTGACACTGATGGTAAAAGATACAAGGTGAAGAAAAACAAGAGGATTGATTAGGATTGATATATAGATATAAAAATGAGTGAAAGTTAGTTTGAAATTAAAATTGTATTGATATAATGGATTTGTTTAGGTGAAGATGCTAGACTTTATGTTAAAATTTGTTTTTTTAATGTTTTGAATTTCTATCCGTAAAAGATGTAATGGGAAATTGAATGGAGCTTGTTAAAGGAACGTAAGCATGGTAACCATCTATGACCGGATCGAGACTCTGTTCTTGAAAGTTATATTTTATGTTTATGTTTGAAATTTTTTTTTTTACAAAAAATAATAATAATAATAATTTCAGTTGACCGTGTGACAAACCTACTGTGAAAGGCAAGTCCAGCTGTCACTTGTCTAGCTTCTACTAGATACCCAAAGTACAATAACCAGACCATTTTAAAGCCTTAAATATTTTGTTCTTCAACAATGTCAGCCTATATGTGAAAAACTATGAGTCAACAATGGGACTAAATTGAGAGCTTTACCAAAGCAGGTAAGACACGGGGAAAAAAAATAGTTCCCTTCAGTCAGTAAATCTGTCAGAAAATGGTCTCTTGAACTATTGGTTATTTTCTCCGTTCTAAGGATTTTGCTAGTTCAAGTGCCTTAAAACTAAACTAAAAATGACTCATCACATTGACTTTTCAAGGAGATGCCATGTTATAAAATGATACTGACAGTTTCTTCTGTAATTATTTGAAACTTACACTACTGGAAAACCTTAGCATTAGGTGACTATTCACAGTATTTTTAAAAACATTTGTAGCCAATTTTATTTATAATTAACTTTTGGATTTTTTTTCTTTGCGATGGGCAGAAATGTGATAATGCTGTTAGATTGGGGAATATTTGGTGATGAATTTGCTTTACATCTTTTTCCAAATATGTTTATATTTGAAATATATATATTTGAAAATTAAGATGTAGATATATAATAACAAATTCCCCTAAAACAACCCGTTTGCTGCTTTTGACTTAATATGAATGGACTAATTCTTTATTGTCTCTGTTGTTAGTGGAGATTTAATTTTCTGTTTACTCAAAATCACTTTTATTTAGAAATCATGTTTTCCAATTGTATCCAAGAAACGTTAAATTTGCATTGCTGAATACGATCCATTGCCAGATGTTGAAAAGGTAATCTGAGGGTTAAGAATATTTTTTTAAAAAATACAGAATCTTTATTAATGTAATATCTTTATTAAATGCACTCAAAGTAAATAAACTTTATAGAAACATTGAATTTCTACAAATTATTCATAGCTTTCTTTTTTGTAACAGAAGATGGTGTAAGTAAGAATGCTATCTATATAGGAAGCTACATTTGCAATATACAGCTTGGCCTGCATTCAAACAGTGCAAGTCCCAGTTCTTGCTTGATTTAAGTTTGATCATCTAAACTACTGTATATAGTAGATGTATGTTTACAAAAAATACACATACAAATATATTCAGAATATAGGGAATGTTTTTATCAAAACCCATTCCTATGAGACATTACATTGACGTTGAAGATTATAAAGTCAGGTGAGCAACGTGTACATAAATTTTATTTGCACAATAAGTTAGGTCTCAACTAGAGGTGGGTTTCAGCAGGTTCTGACCAGTTCTGGAGAACCGGAAGCGGAAATTTTGAGTAGTTCGGAGAACCGGTAAATATCACTCCGCCCCCATCTATTCTCTGCCTCCTGAGTCCCAGCTGATCAGGAGGAAACGGGGATTTTGCAATAACCTTCCCCTGGAGTGGGGTGGGAATGGAGATTTTACAGTATCCTTCCCCTGCCACACCCACCGGTAGTAAAAAACTTTGAAACCCACCACTGGTCTCAGCAGCAAATTAATGAGACCTGTTATTTGATGTATTATGGATTCTATTGAGAAGCAATTTTGGGAAATGGACTGTTTTATAAATTGAAATAATAAGCAAGCAAGCATGCAAGCAAGTTTAAGAAATTGATCCAATGGAAGCAAATATAGAACTTTTCATATTGAAAATTAGGCTGTTTATGTTTGTCCAGTATAGTTTAGCTTCTTAGAAACAGCAGCAACAGCAATTTGAATGAATAACCAGATCTAAATGCTGAAGAAGGAAATGGTGAATTCAGTATACGAATGGCTTGTTAATAAATGCACATTTGCGCTGGACTAATCCAAAATAATTATTGGCAACTAACATTTGAGTAAACATTTACCTATATGTATTTTATCCGTTTTGTTATTCATAGATAAATTTTGTACAGATCTAATTGTCTAATTTTGTTATACTATCCTTATTTCAGAGTAATTACATGTAAAGATAATGTTGCTTTATATTCAGTATCATTTGAAGTATCACTAGCTATGAAGAGCAATTTAAATCACAGATAAGAAAACGATTAGTAAGTCCTGCTACACATGTGTAGGGGAACCAACGGGAAGGCTTTGCTGTACTTCAGAGCCTAGAATAGAATAGAATAGAATAGAATAGAATAGAATAGAATAGAATAGAATAGAATAGAATAGAATAGAATAGAATTCTTTATTGGCCAAGTGTGAAAGGACACACAAGGAATTTGTCTTGCTGCATACGCTCTCAGAGCACATAAAAGAAAAGATACATTCGTCAAGAATCATAAGGTACAACACTTAATGATAGTCATAGGGAAACAGTCAATATATCTCTAATGCTATTGTCATCCTAAATGTTAAAAAACCATGCTTTTCTTTACTCTTTATCGCTAGTAAGTTCTCGGCCTGAACACTTCAAACCTTAGGCTCCAATAACTTGGAATCAATTATGCAAAGCCAACTCATTTCAAAATGAAGCAGTGAATTACCTTTTTCTTGGGGTTTTTTTGGTTTTGGTTTTTGCTTTTTTGAGGAATCTTTACAATTTCCTTGCCTATAGTCAGTCTTAACTTCTTCTGTTAACTGTATTATCCACTGTTCAATATGCTGTTTCTCTATGCAGCTTTGTCGAATGCAGCATAGATAAAAACAATTATCCATGGAACATACCTAGGGATTAAATTCAATTTCACATGTTAACTTAGTTGCCTATGAGCAAATAATTATATTAAGGCCACACAGGATCATTATTACAGGAAATGAAAGAGTCAGTTGGCAAGATTGCTTGGAAAGGAAATCTGGATATACAAATGTGCACATTTAAAATGCATTTGCTTCATCCTTTAATGTTATCGCATACTTTAATTTTAAATCAGATATATCATTTCAACTGCGTATATTTACTTTGTTTCCTTTTTTAATTTTGCTTTGAGATTTAGCTTGAATTTTAAGGCAAATATGAATAATATAAGCATTAGTTGTTTACAGACTTTTTGTGTTGCTCTGAAACTCATCTGGACATGATTGTCAGAAATTGTGAAGCAAGTTCCTGCCATTCATAGGCAGAAAATACATACAAATTGAAATATAGCTTAACTAACAAAGGTAAATTTAAAAAAATCAATCTCTCACCAAAACAGGAATAAATGCAAACTCTCTACCCTGCCTGTGTATCTGAACTTTGTCCATTTTCTTGTGTCTCTTCATGTAAAGGAGTCCCTCCGGATTTTACTCTACGGGTCAGTGCCATCTAAAGGGGGCACTGCTCATCTCCGTTTCAAGGCCACTGAGCCAGCGCTGTCTGAAGATACTTCTGTGGTCCTGTGGCCAGCATGATGTCATGGAACGCTGTTACGTACACTTTGGTACCTATTTATTTATATACTTGCATTTGTATGCTTTTGAACTCTGCTAGCTCCATTCAGTTGCCCAGTGTTCTGTCCCCATCCCACACATGCACCCCCACAGATGGCCCGGAGTTAATAAACCACACGACAAAATCTTTGAAGATAAAGCTGGCAGCAACCCAGTGGCTAGCTGCCAATTCAGACTTTACTCACACAAAACAAAGATTAGACTGCAAGCATTCCGATAAAGCAGGCAAAGTTTCCGCAATACAAGGATTAGTCCAAATGCAGTCCGACAAGGCAGGCAGAAGTCCAGTAACTCAGAGATCATGGATTATTTCTAGTTTTTGCTCGCCACAAACTGAACCGGCCACCACACCCACTTTTATACCCTGTGGGGTGTGGTCCAGTGACTCAGCTAATCTCTGGCACGCCTTCCCCTCTGCTGCGCATGCTTCTCCCTGCGCCTCTGCCGAGGGTCCAGCCAGCACTTATCTCCCTCGTCGCTGTCCACCTGTGGCTGCGGGGACGTGCTTGGCTCTGGGCCTATCTTTTGGCCTTTGTTGTCCTCCGGAGGCATTGCCAGAGAGGAGGGTCCTGGAGAGGGAGGCCTTGCCAACTCCTCTCCCTCACTCTCAGAGTCTGCATTTGTCGATAGCCCAGGCTCAGGCAACGGAGCCACAACACCAGACTCTACCCTGCAAGGGTTTATGGTGTCGTTAAAAGAAGATGATAATGATGATTTGTATGCTTTTAAATGGCTAGGTTGGTAGGAGCTGAGATGAGGATGGGAGCTCACCCCGTTGCATGGAACTTGGGTGTCAAACATGGGGTGAAAACTTTCTAGCCAACAAATCTGCCACCCCTTCAACTATTAGGGCCATATTAAACAAATATCTCTCAATTTCATCTTGCTATTCATTGGTATAGATATCTTTAAACTTTAAATATTAGTTGCAACCAAACTGCCTACTTTTCAGAAACAGCTTGTAAAGAATAGCAGAGAGAAAACTTTGATGAAACACTCTGGTTAAGGTTCAAAGATGCTTACATGTTTATAAAATGTTCAGAGGACTATGAGAATTTTGCTGTTTCTGCTAGTGATTCAGAGTTTATTCTTTAAAACTTCTAGTCAGATCCACTGAATCGAATTAACTGGAGACGAGGGAGGCGTGAGGAGGCGTGGCCAAAACAACTCGACTCAGTATCTGATCAGACCATCTAGATCATCCCACTCCTGACCCACTCCGCAGCCTACGGTAAGACCAACGCCTCTTTTGTTGTTCCTATAAGCTTAGACAATTTCTTCCCTTTGCTTGTTGTTTCTACTTTTTTTGTTAATTTGATGTTCTGTTTTATTTCTGCTTTACTTATTCAATGCACCTAAAATAAGAAGCACCAATCATAAAATCACTAAAAACATTTTTAAAAACAACAACATTGATTATATTCTGTGGTATATGCTGCTTGTGAAGCAATTATGATAAAAAGCCTAAGGAGATCTAATATATAACTAGTTATAGTTTTGACGTATTATTAATGTTCATTGCAGGTGTAGGAAAATCTTTTCTACTAGGTTCTACTAATATTAGGGATAATGTTTAGGGAGTACAGCCATTTATTTGACCCCTTTGTTTTAGTATTTATTTATCTATCTATCAAATTTGTACTGCTGCCCATCTCATGAAAAAGTAACTTTGGGTGACATACAACAAAACTATAAAACTGTTAGCATATTTTTAAAAAATCTTAATAAGAATTTTTTTAAAGAAAAGAAATTAGGGGCCTGGTGGCTCAGCAGACTGAAAGCATTGTGATTAACACCAGCTGTCTGCTATTACTGTAAGTTCGAATCTCACCAGGCTCAAGGTTGACTCAGCCTTCCATCCTTTCTAAGGTAGGTAAATTGAGGACCCAGTTTGTGGGGGCAATAAGCTGATGTATAAATATACAAAAAGTATGAAGGATATTGCTTAACGCATTGTAAGCCGCCCTTAGTCTCCGGAGAAGGGCGGCATATAAATCAAATTTAAAAATAATAATTAAAGGCTAGGAAGGTATAAAAGATGCTAACAACAATTGGGCTACCTCAGTTTCTCATTAGTCATTGGGTCTCCAGCCTGGTGGCATAACTAGGTTTTAGGGACTTCAATAAAATCAAGAGAGTGGAGCCAGTCTCACTTGGAGTGTGTGTGTGTTCATAATGTTCTACATGGGGCTCCCCTTGAAGAGCACCTGGAGGCTCCAACTGGTCCAGAATGCGGCCGCGCGGGTGATTGTGGGAGCGACATGGCGCTCCCATGTAACACCTCTCCTGCGCTTCCTGGCTTCCGGTGGTCTTCCGGGTGCGATTCAAGGTGCTGGTTACCATCTTCAGAGCGCTCCATGGCTTAGGACCTGGGTACTTGCAAGACCGCCTGCTGTTACCAATAGCCTCCCACCGGCCAGTACGTTCCCACAGAGAGGGGCTCCTCCGGGTGCCGTCGGTCAAACAATGTCGACTGGCGACCCCCAGGGGGAGAGCCTTCTCTGTGGGGGCACCTGCCCTCTGGAACGAACTGCCCCCCGGGATACGGAGGATTCCCGACTTGCGCATCTTTCGCCGTGCTCTCAAAACGTTTTTATTTCAACAAGCCAGGCTGGCCTAATTTTTTTAACTTTTTAAATTTTTTTAAAATTCTAATACGGGTGTTTTATTTGAATAGCTGGGCCAAATTATTTAATATGCTTTTAAATCATTTTTAAATTTTATATTTGTGTGCTTTTACTTTTGGCTGTACACCGCCCTGAGTCCCTCGGGAGAAGGGTGGTATATAAATTGGAATAAATAAATAAATAAATAAATAAATAAATAAATAAATAAATAAATAAATAAATAAATAAATAAATAATAAAAATAAATAATAAATAAATAAATAAATAAATAAATAAATAAATAAATAAATAATAAAAATAAAAAATAAATAAATAAATAAATAAATAAATAAATAAATAAATAAATAAAGTGAGTACCACAACAGAGAAGACCTGCCTCTTGGGTCTGTCAAGTATAGCTTCCTAACAGATGGGACTATAGCATGCCCCTTCTGCTGGTTTTGCTGGGATAGGAAGCTATAATTGGAGAGAGATGATTCCCCACATACCTGGCCCTATGCCATGAAGGGGTCTAAAGGTCAAAACCAACACCTTGAATTGTATCCCAGAAGCAGACTGGGACTTAAGGAGCAGAAGTCATTGCATTTTGTACTGTGAAGCTTCCAGATACTCTTCAAGGGCAGCCCCTTGTGGAGTTCATTACAATAATCAAATCGGAAGTTAGGAATTCTTATGAGAGGGAGTTGGAGAGACTCTGACTGAATCACTGGGAGGAGTCAATGGGGAATTAATCTGAAATCATTACATAGGCACAAAGAGCAAAGTCCAACCCTTTCATCCTTGAATACTATTGAAACTTATCTAGTCTGGCCCAAGTGCCAACTGCTGGTCTGGGAAGATTCCTGTAAAATAGGCATGAGCAATAAAATAACTAATTGAACTCTTCATGCGTTGCGCTAGTAGTTTGTGGCTGACGAGTATAGGATTGGAATCATACAGGTGGAGAAAGATAACCTGTTATTTATTTTTCTATTTGGCTTTCTCTCATGTTTTTTTTACATAGTCACACAATCCAGACTTCTTGCAAGACACATAGATTCACCTACCTACACTCATATACTGAAGCTCTCACATGAACCTATCCATACGTATATATCCATCTGTCCAAATACATTCTTCCATTAACCCAACTTTCCTAGATCCTGAAAAATAAAATGTAATCTTTCCCATGTACTACAAGCAAGAATAACTTGCACAAAGTGAGATATAATAGGAACTGCTAATACAGCCAAGAAAGAGTTTATGGGCTAGAAGGAAAGGCTATATGATATGTGCTAAACTTGTTATAGTCTAAGCCACCACAAAGATGCTTCTTTATTGAAAATAAAATTATTGTTTGTGCTTTTGAGCACGATATATTACAGAGTCCTCCTCAGCTAACCTTATGAACCTTTTTACTTGCAGAATTTTTTCTATTATCAAATTGCACTTTTTTCTGCCATAGGATAACCTCAGGCTAGGAGACTGTACTGACTATTGATGTTAGTTTTCAGGAGCTAAAGAATAAACAGATCTAACCTTGCAAATAGCACCATATTTCTTATATCTGCTGTAAAGGAAAATTGGAAGTCATCTCTTTGAATTTGTTTTTGCACTTTTGCTTTGCTTTGCTTTCCATTCTTTATTTGTTCCTTACTTTTATTTTAATTATTAGTGTTGTTAGTTTTTTTTATTTCTTTAGTTGAAAATCTAATAAAGCTTTAAAAAAAAAGTAAATCGCACCATATTTCAGTAGTATGGAGAATCTGCCTTTTGAATAATTTCAGTCAAATAAGTCTACCATGCTGTTAGTGTTTGTTTTATATTTATTGGATTTATATAGCTGTTGTACCCACAAAAGCAACTCTGGACAGCTTACAATTAGATAGAAGCATAAAAACCAAGGGACGAGAAACAAAACAAAACAAAACAAAAATACATATAAAAGAAATACAGAACAATGAAATAACAAAGCTCTGTCCCTCCCTCCCTCCCTCCCTCCCTCCCTCCCTCCTTCCTTCCTTCCTTCCTTGTGATATGCTGACCATTCAGTTCAAGATAACTCTGGCCAATTTACAGTGTAATAACTGTAATGGACTAAAACATATAGGAAGCCATCTTTGGCTGCCATTTTGGACCTCCAAATTATGAATCTGTCATGATGCTTTTTTTTGTGGTATTTTGTCCAGAGATCTTCCCAGGCCTAGGAATCCTTCTGATGCAGCTGTAAGCTGAATCAGGAAAGAATGGTTTGTTTTTACATTATAGAATCTCCAATATCCCTTCTCTATCAGTTTTTCCTAATCTCCTTGGCCAGCTTGCACTGTCGTGTTCCAAAATAATACCTTACACACACACACACACACACACACACACACACACACACTTTTAAGAAATCATTATTGCTCTCTAAATTTCTGTGACAATGGATTAATCAAGAAGAAAACCAACCTAGAACTAAGGAAAAATTTCCTGACAGAACAATTAATCAGTGGAATGGCTTGTCACCAGAAGTTGTGGGTTCTCCAAAAGTGGAGATTTTAAAGAAGAGATTGGACAATCATTTGCCTAAAATGGTATAGGGCCAGGGATGGGCTGCTGGGGGTTCAAACCTAGATTCTGTGCAGTTCGGAGAACCCCCAAATCTCACTCCTGGGTGGCCCCGCCCACCCCTCCCCTCCAGGGTGGGTTCTACTTACCTTTACTACTGATTTGCAACTGATTTGGAAGCCTATTGGGAACCAGTGCACCTATGAAGCATGAGTGTACTGAACTGTACCATAACTATGTACTGTTGAATTCTGAACCAAATCCTGGAAGATTTTAAAGGCAGCCATATGTAGAGTGTATTTCAATAATCCAAACGGAATTCAAGGCATGAGTGATTGAGCAGAACCTCCTGATGTAGAAATAGGCAAGTTTGGCAGATGTGATTTATCTGTATATTGTAGAAGATTTCCTGGCCATGTTCATTATCTGCTCTTTGAGCAGAACCTAAGATTCCAGTGGAGTTTATTGTGTTCTTGCTCAACTGTGTATCATAATTTAAAGGGAGATTGTATTCAAATATTTCATATAATGTCATATCAACTGTGAGGTACTATGAGGAAAATAGCTAATAGCCTCTCAATAACCTGATTAATTTAAGGCAGGGGTGTCAAACTTGATTTCAATGAGGGCCACATCAGGGTTGTGTTTGACCTTGGGGAGCCAGGTTGGGTGTGGCCAGCTCAATGTCACTTGTGTCGGGGGCGCCTGGGGTGGCCCGAGCACTCTGCCAGTGAAAATGGAGTTTGGGAGAACTACACGAGGCCTGAGTTCCATTTTCGCTGGCAGAGGCACTGCAGGCCTGTCCTTTGCTGTTTCCAGGGCGGCCCTGTGGACAAGATCTAAGCACCCCACAGGCCGGATCTGGCCCACAGACCTTGGGTTTGACACTCCTGATTTAAGGAGTCAGGTCCAAAAATTATTCTGGAAAGAAATCTAATTGAGTCTTGTGGGTGTCCCCCCCCCCCAATTTATGTACAAATAAGGCTATAGAAGAAGATTGGTTAGTTGAAAGAAATAAGGAGACATATTTGGACCCTGCAACCCTTCAGTACTTTTCTAATATTGAGGTAGATATGGGTAACTCTACTAAAGATCTAAAACATCACCCAGAATAGAATGGGAAATGTGTTCTTTGATGTCTAACAGAGCACCATTTTCTTTAAGAAAGGCAAACTTTAGGTACTATCATAAATTCATACTAAAAAGCTTTTAATCTGACAGTGTTTCTGTTTTGTAGGAAGGTTGCAATTTTCTCACAATGGATATGCTCATCCTCAACTTGATACTTTCTTGCTGTATGGACCATAGCATACCTAGTTAGATAGCCATAGCAATCTAACTAGGAAAGCTATGTTCACCTGTAAAGATAGTCTTCCAAAAATTAAATGGATTAACACCTGCACTTTTACTGGGCCTTTAGAATGGCAAATTTTTTCTTGAAAAAAATTCTGTTCTGCTCAAAATGTATATTGGGGAAACAAAAGAGCTGAAACCTTCTGTTCTCAGTCTTTGTTACAGCACTAAGACTTTTGAGATTTAATGTTAGTACACAAAACGTTTTGCTCACTTTCATTTCTTCTTTTTTACAGAAGCATTAGTTGCATAGCACTTTGAGAACTTATTTCTTCAACAGCTCTGAACCTCCTTTCAATTCAATCTCAGCTGCAACAATCATTAAAAACAATGAGCATGTCTGGCGCAAGTAAACGTGCTCAGACTATCAACCATTCACTAAGTACCTGGCATTGGATCCATAAGTATAACTAGATTCTGACACGGGAAGAAAAGCTTTAGCACTCATTGAAAAGACTCCGCTTTCCATGCAAAGGCGTTAAATGATGCACCTTTGGCAGGACCGAGGAAAAAACTTTTTGAAGTGGTATTGATAGCCTCATCATTTATACATGCTAATTTTGCCTATTTAGGATACCACCTTTTTGAAATCACAGATTAATTAACTCAACTTTAAGCTAATATGGTAATGATTTGTGGTGAGTGGCAGATATTTCCCTGTAATTATGCATGAATCAATGTGTGATTTCCTAATGAGCTTAACTGAGGAAATCATCCTTTTATGAAAAAATGCTTTATTTCCTAAAATGCTAGTAACACATTTTTAGTAAATTAAATCAAAAGCTTCTTACTTCTGTAACATGCATTATTATATATTACTCACTCCTTTATCTGGCTACAGAATGCAGAAGTTTAGTATTACTAGAAAAGGCCACAATAATTCATTATATTATTTTCCTCACAACAAAATATAAAGTATATTTAATTTTATACTTCAGTTCTGATGAAGAGTTTATGCCTTCCCAAGGGCTAATTCTTTGGGCTGTTTAGTTATTAAACTAGGCATCACAGAAACAGATTTTTCATTACCTTTCATCATGCAGACTTGTTTACTTAGAACATGAAATGAAACAGAACAGACCTTTGCTAACCTTCTAAATAATTTTCTGCCTAATTAATTATTTGTTTATTTGATTCTTTGCATCCTGAAAATGAAGAATTCATCTTCTTGTCAAAGTGAAATTTCCTGACAAAATAGGAGGAACCTCCATTTGTGCAGACAGGATGATCCCTGACCATAATGAAGCCAGATTCTCCAAAACAAAATTTTGCATTTCTGGAGATGGCACAATAAGAGCTCTTAATATAATGTATGTCGAAGGGGAAATAATTTGATTTAATTTCATGTATGCTTTGATATTTTTCTAGTGAAATCAGTATGGCCTCTCCTAAAGATTAAAAAAAAAACAACAACTAAGGGAGCAACAGAAAAATAATAGCAAGTAAATCTACTCACATGTAATCCCAAAGGTGCTTTTTCAAAGAGGCAACTGGGCTTTCTGGTTTTTCTTTGAAGACGTTTCGCTTCTTCAGCTTCTTGGACGAGAAGCGAAACATCTTCAAAGAAAAACCAGAAAGTCCAGTTGCCTCTTGGAAAAAGCACCTTTGGAACAACCATGAAATGGATGACTGAAAATCTCCATACATATTCATATGTAGAAAAAAGTTTGGACTCACAAGGTTGCAGATCTTCATCTCCTCTTCTAGAACTCCTCTGGGGCTCCCCATTTCTAAGCATAGCCTTTCTGCCTTGGTGCAGCTGCTTGGGGATTACCCCTCCCTGCCCCTGGTGGAATTCAAATTTTTTTACTACCAATTCTGTGGGCGTGGCTGGGTGGGCGTGGCTTAATGGGCATGGCAGGGGAAGGATACTGCAAAATCTCCATTCCTACCCCACTCCAGGGGAAGGATACTGCAAAATCCCCATTCCCTCCCCACTCCTGGGGGAAAGATATTGCAAAATCTCCATTCCCACCCCACTCTGGGGCCAGCCAGAGGTGGTATTTGCCAGTTCTCCGAACTACTCAAAATTTCCGCTGCTGGTTCTCCAAAACCTGTCAGAACCTGCTGAATAGCACCCCTGCTCCCTGCTAACTTAGATAAGTGGGACCGGCAGAGATCCCATAAATTGACAAAGTAATAGAAGGTATATTGTGGCTGTTGTCTTAGTAGCATTGCTTCCTGGCTCTGCAGCATTAAAGGATGTGATTAGAGAAATCAGTCTCTTTGGAGTCTGATTAATTACTTAAAGGATTATTTAATTTAAGGGTTTTTTTTAGAAGAAAAGCGGAAGGAGAACAAACTCTTTTTTTGGAACTTTATGAGTCAAAACATTCTGTAATAAAGAACATGAAATATATAGCTGATAAGTGATCTCCAGAGAAACCTCCCTCATAATAAACTAATAGAATCAGTTTAAGGTTATAAAATTTTGAGCATAACATAAGATTACATTGATTTGCTAATTTTCAATGGGAGTTTGATTGGCTAGACCTAACTTCAAAGTTTACCAAAAGCCAGCATAGAGATAAAAAAAGATAGCTATCAAAGTATCATCAAAATATGAAAGACCTTTAAAAACACAAGGTCAAATTAAAGCACAAACCCTTAAGATAGATGTTTAGTTAATACATTTATTCATTTCTTGAAGACAGAGTTCCTGAAGCCAAGGGTCCCTCTTGAGTCTCTAGAATCCCTGAATTTCATGTACAGGGCTACCTTAATACTCATTGTTAATTGGTTCTGGGATATGCAATAAGTACCAAAAAAGAGTACCAAACACATCTTTCCCATAAGAAATAATGTAGTGAGTCATAAGGCAGCTGACCCCAGCAACTTCTAGTTTGTGCACTGAGTACCAAACAAATTATGAGTGCTGAGATATTTGCATCAGAATTTGAGTACCAAATTTGATGAGATTCAAAGCAGTTGAGTGCCAAGTACCACTAGATTGCTATGCTTTTTTCCCAGAGATCCCCTTTCCTTCCCTAACTTCTCATATTTAAAACAACCATTTTCCTTTCTAGAAAGAGAAACGTAAAAAAAAAAAAATCTCTGAGACCTATATGCAGGTTTTAACTTTCCTGCTTGAGATAAAGATTTAAATTCAGAATGTCGCCTGCATGACATACACTTGACAGTTTAAGATGAGGGTATCTCTGGAATATTAGTGAATGCCAAGTGGCTGAGTTTATAACTTCCCCGATATCCTTGTAAATATGCATTACATCTGTAGTACATATTCATGACAAAGAATAATTTTTCCTAGAGTAATTTTAGGAGGAGAGCTGTATTAGGTATGGTATGCAACACTCAGGAGGATTCTGGTATCAATTTTTAGACTAATAAATTGTTGCATCAAAATAAATGGGGTTTCAGCAAGTCACAACAGAAAAACCAATTTTTAACATCTAAGACAACAGACATGGCAATAATGATATATTGTTAGGTGAAAAAGATTCAGGACATTGAAAAGAAAATGTAACCCTAGAAAACTAAAAAGGGAATAGATTGAGAAACGGTATATGCTTCATAGTTCATATTCATAGTCTTTTCAAATTCTACAACTTCCTAATTTTATTCTCCCCAGTTACACACAGCATAAATCACATAAGAAGGATAAATTCTTCAATTTTTAGGGACAGTAAATCATTTTCATTTCTGAGACATTCCATAAAATTTCTAGACAGCTTTAGTAGATAGTTCCTCTTGAACCAAGAAAAATATTTCATCTGCATTCAGCTGCAGTGAGGGACACTTATATTTCTTTAGATAATTCTCTTATATGTTTGAGAAATGCTCAGTGTAATGAGTAAATTGGTATTGGACATCTGTAAGCAAGCTGCAAAAAAATAAATAAATGCCAGACTTGATTGCTAAGACTGAGCACCATCAATTTAGAAGTTGGCCAACTTAACAGATGCTGATTTCATCCACAGACGGAGCTGCTGTATGTCTGGGTTTTTACAGAATATTGAATTCCTTCATATTTTGGTGCCAGGAGGATTGCACACTAATTTTCTTTTCAAGCTACTGTACACAGAAAAGGATGTCCTCCAGTTGTTGCCAAGATTTCTTCTTTTGTATCAAACAGTGTTATAAATAGAATGAAGGCTACTTCAATTTCTTTTCTCTCTAGGGATCAATGTATATGATCAGCTGAGATGTCTACTTGGAATAAACATAACGATTCATGAATTAGGCTACAAGGAGAGTCAATGTGGAAACTTCCAGTCAGAAACAAATCCTAACTAAAATTCAACAATTGTAATTCATCATCTACAAACAATCCAATAATTATATTTTAAATATGTGAAATATAGAAGAAATGAAAGAAGAAACGCATACTTAAAATATGTTGTACACGACTAGAAAATAAATATTGTCTCATACACATTATTTTTCTGTATGCAATTGTCCTTAATATTTCAATAATAATATCAACAGTCTGCACCATAGAGGTTACAACCATTTGTTTAGCAAGCCGTTGAAGTTACAACGCAGGAGTGGGTTCTACTTATCTTTACTACCGGTTCGCATTGTGCCCACATGCTTTTGTCCAAATCATTGATGAAGATGTTGAAGAGTACTGGGCCTAAAACAGACCCTTGGGATACCCCACTGCATACTTCCCTCCATGTAGATGGAGTTCCATTGAAGACTACACGTTGAGTGCGGTTGGTCAGCCAGTCAGCCAGTGGTGATGCTGTCTAACCCACATTTTCTATCTTATCAAGTAGTGGGTAATGTCTACTTTATCAAATGCCTTACTGAAGTCCAAGTAAATTATATCCACAACATTCCTCTGGTCACTTTGTCAAAGAATGCAATAAGATTTGTCTGGCATGATCTATTTTTGACAAACCCATGTTGGCTTTTGATTATTACTTTGTTTGCCTCTAGGTGTTCACTAATTCATTGCTTGAGGTCAGCTGATAGGTCTGTAGTTTCCTGGATCTACAGTATTTAGGAAGCAGAAAGAAAGGAATGTCCCTTCTAAAAAGTCATCCTGCATACCTGAAGCAATTATTTGACAAGTGAAACAAAGCCTGAAGGATTCCCAGCTTGGAAACATCTAATTTTAATGTTTTACCCAAGTATCTAACTAATGTCTACAGGTACAAAATTAACTAAAATCTAAATTTCAGACTGCAAATCTTGTAATGCTAAAGCACGTACAATTGAGTTTAGAATTGTATGTCTCTCCGAAGGAAACACTCAACTTGATTCATCCAGCATACTAGTTTTGTTTGGGTTCAGCCTTTGGGTGGGGAGTTTAATTTATAGATTGATATGCTGCTCTTCAAAATGGAGGTTTTCTACGCCACATTCTTATCATGTTATATAAGTCCTGCCAATTTTTGACAATGGTTAATCAAATTAGCAAATATTTCAACCTGATGATTTCTGCTGCTCAACTTTTAATGCACCATTCTGTTATATCAATTCTCCATTCTCCATATTGTAACACCAGCATTTTTTGAAAAACTTCTGCCTTTGCAAACTTACCTCATTCTGTCACT